TTAGTACCGTACGTTTAGTTCTGGAACTAAAGCGGTGCGAAAGGGCCTATAGCTCGCGCAAACTCGTCCCAGTACTTTAGTACCGTACGTTTAGTTCTGGAACTAAAGCGGTGCGAAAGGGCCTATAGTTCGCGCAAACTCGTCCCAGTACTTTAGTACCGTACATTTAGTTCTGGAACTAAAGCGGTGCGAAAGGCCCTAATAAGAGCGTAGTTCGTCTGTTAATATCACATGCACCTTTTTATTTTTTTTTTAGTCACTCAGATGCAGGCAGTGCGCTGCATGAGACAAAAAAAGCAATATAGCCAAAACAACCGCATAGCCGCTCTTTAGTGTAGATGCATGTTTATTTTATCAGACGATGCCGCGATTATAAATGAGTCACTCCTGGTTAACATGTATTAAAAGGGGTCGTGTTTAGTCACTATTTAGTGTGGTAATTTTTGACAATATTCACTCATCATGACAGTAAAACAGGGCATTCTAAGTCAATATACTGCAGTATTTCCTCTCTCAACCAGTAGAAAATATGGTTAACACTCAGTCATGCATGAAAAAAAAAAACTGTCTTGTACCGTGAAACCGGTATAATTTTTTTAAATACCGTGATATAAATTTTTGGTCATACCGCCCAGCACTAGGTCATATGATGCGATTTCAATTTTTCCTTTCTCTTTGGAGTGTTACAAGCTCTTGGTGCAAAAAGAAGATCTGTAAAGTTGCAAAGACTAAAGTCTCAAATCCAAAGAGATATTCTTTATAAAAGTTAAGAGTTAACCACGCCTACCTAAAACGGCTCGTTCTAACATGCCCCCACATATCTACATCACTATGTGGGAAGATTTGCATAACACCACCCAAATGTTCGCTGTGTTTCGTTGTGAAAGCGAAAACTACTTTGTTTGGTCTTCCAAAAGAGGACATGACTAGAAATCAGTGGTTAAGTTGTATTTACAACACTGTTCCAGAACAGTTCAACCCAAATATTCAGATGTGTGCAGCTCATTTTATGGAGGACTGTTTCCTGATACTGGTAGAGTAGACTACAGTGCCGGCTGTTCTGACTCACAGTCTGTAAGTAAGTTTTTTTATATTTAAAGAATTTGCCACTGACGATTCAAACGTGAGTTTTGAGCAGTGTAGAGTAGCGCTTGTTGTTTGTAATTTCTCCGATTACAAATGCAGACATGGTTTTATGTTTACGTGGCACGATGCAACGCAATGCGTAAAAAGACAGTATAAGTCATTATAATCCGTAATTATGTCCCCACTGGATGCAACAAATGCCTCGTTTATAATGGGTTTTAATGTTTTTGTCTTGTCGCTCCGGCCGGGACACAGCATCACAATATGGTAAGGAACGTAACATTTCCATCACACGCTTGAGGTATTCGGCCTATCACAACTCACTGGATAGCTGGCCAATCACAGCACACCTCGCTTTTCAGACCGATGAGCTTTGTAAAAATCGACACATTTCAGAAAGGCAAGTCATAGAGGAGAAACAATAATGTACAGTATGTGGAAAATAATGTGTTTTTTAACCTTAAACCGCATAAACACATTTCATTACACCAAATACACAAAATAATGTTCTTTTTAGCAACATCATATGACCCCTTTAAACGGTTGATTCATTCAGGACCAAAACCGCGTCCTGTTGCTCAGAGACGCAAAACAGAGCTGTTGCTGTTTGAAATATTTTTTTTGGGAGAAATAGAGCAAAAACAAGAAATATGGTGTCTAAAACGTAAGTCTCTTAATATTAACTACTTGTTTATTGAACTGTAGTATAAAATCAATATCACACTTGTAATCATGCTTACTTTGAGAAAAAAGGGCACTCTTCCGTGTGATAACTATATCAAATTATTTGAATATATACATTTTCTGCCCCATATCTTAAATTATGTGATAATTCTAAATGCATTTTAATAGACTGATTCATGCAGTGAAAGAACGCACTCTAAATGCGCACGCGCACAAGTCTAACCTGCTAGACTTCATCGTGTTTGCTTATACTCATATCAAATCGCACATCGTTAAAACAACAATTACGATATTATGGCAGACCATACATATCGCACAATCGCACAACCATTTTTATAATGCATTGTCTTCTTACCTATCCACCAGTTCACATTCAAAGCTCTGCGTGTTTGCAGGGTAAAAACATGGGTCGATTTTCGCATTGGTCTGAACTCTGAACAAAACAACCGTTTTATTGAATATGCTCATTCATTCTCTGCCAGCAGGTGGAGCGTTTGGTAGAAATATAACTGTTTTCCCGGTAACGGCAGAACACAAAGCAGCACAGCACTGGATTTTGAACAGCGCTTGTGTTTATTCAATGAAATCATAGCCTTTTGAAGTTTAATCGTCACATTCAGC